GCTTTGCATAGTCAATAAAGCACAGGTAGACATCTTTCTGATATTCTCTGTTTTCAGCCAAGATCCATCAGACATCAGCAATGATATCCCTCATTCCACAGCCTCTTCTGAATCCGGCTTGAACTTCTGGAAGTTCTCTGTCAGTATATGCTTGCAGCCATTTCTGTATTACCTTTAGTAAAACTTGACTTGCATGGGATATCAAAGATATTGTCCGATGATTTCCGCATTCCGTTGGGTCACCTCTCTTTGGAATGGGCACAAATATGGATCTCTTCCAATCAGTCGGCCAGATAGTTGTCTTCCATATTTGTTGGCAGAGATGAGTGAGTGCCTCCAGTGCCGCCTCACTTTCTTGAAAGATCTCAATTTTTATTCCATCAATTCGTGGTGCTATGTTCTTTGCCAATTCCTTCAATGCACCTTGGACTTCCTCCTTCAGTATCACTGGCTCTTGATCATATGCTACCTCTTGAAATAGCTATCTTCTACATTTATTGGCACAGATGAATGGTCACCTCCAGCAATGCACCTGCATTTTGAAATATTTCAATTGGTGTTCTGTCAATTCTCAGAGCCTTATATTTCATCAATGCTTTCAGTGCAACTTTGACCTCTTCCTTTAGTACCATTGGTTATTGACCAGATGCTACTTCCTGAACTGGCTGAGCATCGGCCAGTTCTTTTTGGTGCACTGACTCTTGTATGTACCTTTCATGTTCTTTTTATGCTTCCTGTATTGTGCAACATGTTGCCCATAGAACCCTTCAAAATATTGCAACTCAAGTTTTGAATTTTTATTTCAGTTCTTTCGGTTTGAGAAATTCTGTTAGAAAGCCTGTTCTTCCCTTTCGGCTTTCTAACTCCAGATCTTTTCACATTTCATTATAATACTAAACTTTATATTCTGGAGTAACCCTTTGAAATCTTCTCTTCAGCATTTTAATTTCATGATTACTCCCATTTGCTTTAGCTCTTCTATGGTCAAGAGTCTAGTTTCAGAAACATGTTTCAGAGTCGCTTCTGGTATCTATTTTGTATTTTCTTTTTTCCTTTTCTGTGCTCTTTTTAATGACCCTTTGCTTTCATCGTGTATAATGTCCTTGTACAAATTTTTACAGGTACAGGTGCTTACAAACCAGACCTAGAATGGGAAACTACAGGAGACTTTAAGAAGCACTGGAAAATTATATCACAAATACTAGCATCAAAGATTATTCTGGTATATCTGGACTAACCACTAGGATAGTGAAGGGGAGGCAACTAATGCAGTTTCAAGATTAACTCATTGAACTTGGTCTATGCAACACCTTCCTGTTTCTGGGTCCCACAGCAGACTTGAGGAGGTTGCCCACTACTTCCCAGCCTAACTTCTACAGGGGTGGAGTAAGGTCTAAGAGCAGAGAATTGGCACCTGTTGACTCTTGAAGGTCACCCATGGCAAAACCACTGGTTAGAACAACCAGCAAAAATTCTGTAAAATGGTATTATTTAAAATCAGAATGACAGAGATAATCTAATCTGAGTTCAATGGCCTGTTTTTAAGATGTCCATTTTCATAAACTATTTTACTGTAACTATGTGAAAGTTCAGCCAACAGGTTAAACTGCAATATCATCATATGCTAAAGGTTTTTCCTTACTCTATTTACAGACAGCCTTTCAATAAAATATTCAACAAAGACCTCTGTCTCCATTTACTTGTTAAAAGCAGTTAACTTAACTTAAAAAGCTGAAAAGCAGCAACAAACAAAACAGCAACGACAACAAAACGTCCCTCCAGTTTCATACTGTCATTCACAAATACTGACCTCCATATATACAGCCATCACATTGGCCATTTTTGTAAAATGGAGACCTTTTTGTAAAATGATATGTAGGATGTTAGACTGGCTCAGAAATAGGAAAGCCAGAAGTACATAAGGAACTAAAGTCTAAGCCCTCTTCTGGGGTGGGACAGACGAATATTTCCCATGATAATTACATCTCTCTGTCACTCAGATTCATAACATTCCATTTTTAATAGTACAAAAGAAGTTTTCTCATTTCATTATTATTTTTTGTTGCTGGAATAACAGAATTCATTTAAATCGTGCCATGTTTGCATTAAAAAATTGTCACCAAGTAAAACAATAAGGCTCTGAAAATGGTCAACTTCATAAATTTCTTACAGTTCGATTAGAATATTTCTAAATGATTTAAGAATCTACATTACTTTGTTAAATTACTGAAAAATTACTTTGTCGGCTCAGTTTCCTAAATCAAATCCTCCTGTTCAGGTTAAACATAAACTTTGATAATACATCAAATCTTACTAGAAGCTCCCCCAAACTGTATTTTATCATTCAGAGTCTCTCATGTGCCAAACATGAAAATGAAGCAAATTATGCAGAGACGGAGAAAGCAGAAGTTAAGATTTCAGAGAAGAAAATGAGGCCAACCATCAACATTTAGAATTGAAAAATCACACTTCATGATAACCAACAGATTGTTGATTTCCTTAAAAGTACTTGTACCATAAACCTTGAAGATCCAAATACATATAATTAAAATATATTAAAATATTCATGGTGTCTTCCACAGCATATTGCTAACTGAAGTGTGAAATCACACATTACCACAACATTTCTGCCTGATGAGATAATTTTGGTTTTCTTGAGAGCACAATGCCAAAACATTTATTTTGCCAGGAAATAATTTCACTTATTTTGAAAGAAATGAATATTTATAATGACCAGCCCCAGGTTTGTTGAAATATAAAAAAAGAAAGACTAAAAATAAAAGCCAACTTATTTTTTAAATACTGGACAAATCTAGAGCAAGTAAATACTTTCTAAAGACAGATAATAAATTTTATATAGTTTTATGGGGCTACCATCCCATTAGTCTCAAAGTAATTCCAAATGAACATTTGTAAGCGCACATGCTTAAATGTTTATTCACTGTTATTTATTTGGCTACTTCATATATTCATTATCTCTCCTACTTTACTTCTAGTAAGAACTAGTCCTAGAATAGAGTAGACCAAGAACAGTATCTGGTATTTCATTAACTGAATAGACTGTTGTTAAGTACCATCAAGTCAGTTGCGACTCACAGCAACCTTGTACTAGGGTTTCTGAGGACCAGCCAGTGAATTTGAACCACCAACCTTGCGATTCAAATCAACCTTGTGGTCCAATGCATTATACCACAGCACCACGCCGGTTATTATTTTTTTTATTTGGGCTTATGGAACAAAACTACATTTCTAAGCTAGAACTCTAAATTCATACTTTCAATATGTTTGTTAGAGTATTAGTTCAGATCGTTTCTAGATATATAGTATGAATAATGTCAGTAAATAAATACAAATCTAGCTGTATTACATCAATACCGAGTTTGGAAATTTTTTGTGTCTGGAATATACCAGTCTTTTACTTTGCCTGACTCCTCACTTATTAACCACATAGTTTTGGCACAGTAGAGACTAGTTTTGGCAGTTTTAAGAAGGTAGAGTCTTAAGACAATAGCAAATTACTACTAATTTCTTCTTGATGAGTGCTATTAACACCTATTAACATCAATAAGAGTAACAAAACTGTACCCAGGACAAAACAATCAGCTTTGTGTGTATTACTAGAAACAAATGGAAACTTAGTATAGGAATTTTAATACACTAGTAAAATATGGATTTTTTTTGTGCTGCTCTCTCATAAAATGAAACACAACCATAAATCAGAAACAGCTTTTGAAAACCAGTATGATTACTAAGATTTTCTAAAAGCAATCCTGAAATTGTCACTCACCTAGAATATTTCTACCTTGAAAATTATAATATTTTACATGTAATATCATTCCTTGAGGAAAGTAAACAGTTTAAAATGCAAAATAATAATAATAATAATAATTTTTTTTAAATTGTGTTTTAACTTAAGTGCAAAAATAAATATTTCATTGAGGATTGGGAAAAAAAAAACACATTTAAATAATTTTATTGCACTGTAAGTTGCCAATTCGTCTGTGAGTAGTTTCATTGCAGATGAAAAGAAATCAAAATACAGGGCAGATGTTGAACAAACCGCATTTACGTTCTGTCACACACTGGCATTTTTCAAATGATTTTGGTTCATCTATTAAATAAGGTGCATTTTGCTTGATTTTGAAAAAGGGAAACATCAGGAAATATTTAAAGGCCAATTGCTGCCAATTAACTTTGATCAGTAAAAGTTCTATTTGAATCTTTCAGATTCTTGTCCTGTCTGAAATAACATACATTTATAAAATCCAGTAAAACAACAACTTGATGAGTAATGCCTGTTGGCAGCCCTACCACAAGCTTGCTTAACAGCAGGATTTAAATAAACAACTGTCTCTATTAAGAAGGAAGTGAAATGTAGTTGTAGTCATGCTTGTTCATAATGGAAATGTGAATACAATATTCTTTGTTTTGAAGAATGCTGCTAACCAAGATCAGCATGTTTGTCAGTACCCATAACATTTAGTTATCCATCTTACAACAGTGTCCCCCAAATCATAATGGACAGATAACATCATCTGCTGTTTGATATCAGATATCCTGGCAACCCAAAGAGTCTAAAATGCTGTCTAACCAACTGGACCATCCAGAAAGAAAAGCAGTTGACCCAACACACTGAGAATCTGACAAAGGCAGCAAATGTAAGTATCACAATTTCTGATGAATTCTAAGATGATAGTCAGCAAGAAATCTGGGCTTATGATAATCAACAAAGTAAAAATATGAGTACTCTTGATATTCAACTTTAATCCTTATCAATGATCACAGGCATCTAACTTTGAATCACAACAACCAAAGCAAAACAAGATCAAGAAATAACATAAAGGCACTACATATTACTATCATTAGTTATGTAGCTCATTATTTCAATGATCCAGTTATATATTTAGAAAATTATATTCCACTGTTCATTTAAACCTATATAGCCTATTTTCAAACATGCAACACTTAACAAACAAATGTAAAATACAACCAGAACTTACTTCTAAGTCATTGAAAAAGAGATGTGTGTCTGCCAAGTTGAAAATCATTTCTTCCATTCTCAGTCCAAGGGAAACTGAAGTGGGAGGATCCTAAAAGAAGAATTATCAAGTTAAGAAAGTGTGTACTTCATGTTACATGAAATATGACGTCACATCAAGAAAGGCTGACAGCAAGAGAGAAACTGTGAAACTTGGGTTTCCACTACTTTTGATGATAACAATATATTTTGTTGGCAAAGTTTAGCAACAAATTTGTTTAAGAAGTCAAATGTCACAAATGTTGCTGACTCTTTGCATAACAAAGAAATACCTTGTGGATTACAATATTACTGAGAAAAAAATCTAGGGTCACTTAGTCATGTAAAGTAGAGGGGATTCAGCTTTCATAGGTCTATTTTTGTTCTTAAGTGCCGCTGAAGTGCCGCCGAGTTGGTTCTGATTCCCAGTGACCCTGTATAAGGTTTCTGAGGTGCAGTTGGTGAGTTTGAACAACTGAACACATTGTTATTAGAAGTTCAGTGCTCATTCTACAGTGCCACACCAGTACTCTAGTTTTAGGAGCAAGTAATTCAGTGAATCAAGAAACCACTGGTGTTTTTATTATACCATGATCCATTGTGTTGTTGTTGTTGTTAAGTGCCGTCGAGTCGGTTCCGACCCATAGCGACCCTGTACAGGGTTTCCGAGGGTGTAAATCTTTACGGGAGTAGAAACCCTCATCTTTCTCCTGCGGAGCGGCTGGTAGTTTCGAACCGCTGACCTTAAGGTTCGCAGCCCGATTTGTAACCAAGAAAATAGTTACACTGCAGATTAATTTCAGAAGGGTAGTAAATAGTAATTTTAGTCTAGATCACAACTCTGTTTCTATCTGTACTTACTGAAACTGTCTGCCAGTTGTGAATATAATCAAAGCAGGAAATGATGTCCACTTGGACAACCTAGTACCTTGTCCAGCTCAGGGAGCTGGTCTTGATATTGACATGACACCATCCAATCATCCACTAGCCAGTAACATATAAAGAGGGAGTGGGGTGAATTCTGAGGTGTACACAAGAACATAAGGCTCAAAGATTATACGCTATGTTGGCTGCCATCTAAGGGCTTAGATTCTCTGGTTGCAATTAAAAGATTAAAAGATGATACTGGTAGAAGTCTATATTTATTCCACAAGTTTTCTATGATCATAAAATAGTGTTTTAGAAATTGTTCTATGGAGTAATTCAAAATGCCATATAAAAGTTGGTTGTTGGAATACCTAAAAGGGGTTCTAGAACTTGCCCAGTGAAATAGGCCTCTTGCAGAGCCTTTGAAGTGTATAGGACCTTAGGTGGAATCCCGAGCCCTATCCAGAACTTTCTGAGATGGGACATTCCCATTAGAAAGGACAAGCAGACCAGCCTGGACTAGCTGGAGTGACAGAAGATACATCTTCAAAGAAATATCATCAAGAAAAACCCAAAACAAAAGTGACAATATGATTGGCTACTACAAGAATAAGCAAGTTGTTCTCAGGGAAGCCATCAAGGCAAACAATCAAGTTCCTTCAGGACCAATCCCCCTCTAAGAATGAAACTCAAAGGGAACATACAAGCAGTCATGTAAGCTTGCTTATGACCACAATAGTGTACTGGTAAGTGGAAGAAGGGGCAAGGCAGCAATGAAGAAATAGGCTGAATTCAACCATTTTCCATAGACTCCCATTGACCTGGAGATGAGAAAGAGAAGAGGAAGAGAAGAGGAAGAGCTGGCTGGGCTAAAGTGTGCTGAGACCTGGGGACATCTGAGCCCATGGACAAGGACATAGCCACAGAGGGCTAGAGCTGAGAGTGAAGCATTCAGCTGATATGAAGTGAAGGGGAGATGCACCAGAACACCCAAACTTGCAGATAGTAACCATTTGACCTAGCCTCGATGGCTTTATAATCAGAACTCGACTAGAGGAGGATTTAAAAAAAAAAAAGAACTAAATTTTTGATAAAGGAAATGAGGGTAAATTGCTACAATTTGATGAACTTGACCTATAACTCATGGAGACAGTAACTCTAAATATCAACAAAGAGGGAAGGAGTCTTCACATCACATATCAAAGCTATCCCCTCTGTACACAGGGTAGGAATGGGCAACTTAGACATTGGCTACCGAAATTGAGGGGGCTATAAAGGCACGAAGTGACTGGCTTACAAGGTTTCAAGAGAGAGTTTAGTTTAAGAGTGTGTGGGGGAAGACAGAGTCACCACAGAATAGTTTTCATCTTGTCTAGATGGGTCTGGTTAAAGAGATGGAGATAAGATTCTTAAGATTCAATAGTGAGTAGTTGTTATCCTGATTAATTATGACTGTCACAACTGTAACAAAAACAAGGGGGGCGGGGGTAGTGGTAGTTAATCTTACAGTCCAGAAACAAAGGACCCTAGGACCATTAAGGGAGAAGACCACAAGTGGACTGTGAGACCTTATCCAGCAGTGAAATCAGAGATGGAGACAAAAAAGGGGACATGGAGAGAGGGAGCGGCTGAGGACTCTAGATTCATGGGAAGAGAGGGACTGAGAGCTGGTGGCCAGGAGGCAGGCTTGCAGAATGTGCTCTTTGGTGGTGTAAATTATTATATCTGCCTGAGTGTTTAAAAAAAAAAAAAAAAAAGAGTTAAAGTGAAGAGAAAGAAATACTGTTAACTGATGGTACATGGAGGGGATTATAATCATTGTAATGAAACTAAGGCATATGATTTATTGAATGTAAAACTAATGATCTGCCCTGTAAACTTTCACTCAATTTACAATAAAAACAAAAAAACCCAAACTGGTTGTTGTTAGGTGCCATCGAATCTGTACCAACTGATAGCAACCCTAATGCACAATGGAACGAAACATTGCCTGGTCCTGGGCCAACCTCACAATCGTTGTCACGCTTAAGCCCATTGATGCTACCACTTTGCCAATCTATCTCGCTGGAGGTCTTCCTCTTTTTCTCTGACCCTCCACGTTACCAAACATGATGTCCTTCTCCACTGACTGGTCCCTCCAGACCTGAAGTATGAGAGACGAAGTTTGGCCATCATGGCCTTCAAGGAGCACTCTGGCTACACTTCTTCCAACACAGACCTGTTTGTTCTTTGGCAGCCCATGGCACTTTCAATAGTCTCCTCCAACGCCATTACTCAAAAGCATCAATTCTTCTACGGTCTTCCTTATTCACTCTCCAGCTTTTGCATGAATATGAGGTTATTGAAAATACCATGGTTTGGGTCAGGCACACCTTAGTCCTCAAGCAGAAAAGCTAGTACTGTTATAAAATAGCAATAAAACTTTCTAAATTTTACATCCCTTTCTCTATATGAAGATAACTTTCTCTATGGATTTTTTTTCTTCTCCACTAATTATCTTCAGAAGTTCTGGTACGGCGATGTAGTATAAGCAATGGACTGCTAACCATATGGTCAGCAGTACCCATTCACCAGCCACTTCTCAGAAACCCTATACAGGGTTGCTATGAGTCAGAACCAACTCGATGGCACTTAACACCAATAACAACAATTATCTTCAACCATGGACAATATTGTTTCCTGAATTGAAGACATTACTAAAGGAGTAATACCATCATGGAGTCCCTGAGTGGTGCAAAAGCTTAACACACACTTGGTAGTGCATCTAAGAGTTGGCTGTTTCAGTCCAAGGTAACTCAGAAGAAAGGCCTGGTGATCTACTTCTGAAAAAAAGTCATTAAAAGCCTGACAAATCACAATTCTGCTTTCACACATGAGGTCACTGTAAGCGGGAATCCACTGGATGATAAATGGTTTTTAACACTACTAAGACTGCTAATATCTGCACATCCCCTGAATTTGTCTCAATGCTAGCAGATGAGATCAGAACATGCACTGGGTAGGGCTGGCTGACTGTTCACCACTAGCGTCAAAGGCTTGAAGCAATGAGAGAAGCCAGTAACACTCTCACTATTCAATTTGTTATTGTTAAGTGCCATCGAGTTGGTTCCGATACATGATACATAGAGACCCTGTATAGGTTTCTGAGGAGCAGCTGGTGGGTTTGAAATGCTGACCTTGTGGTTGAAATTGACCTGTGGTTTAGCACAGTATCCTGCAGTGCCACAACAGGACTCCAACTATCCAACTGCTGTTGTTGTTAAGTGACCCCCCTAAAAACTTCTATTGTGTTCTGAATATACAACTTAAATCCCAAAGACCTGTGTATACCTTCTACTTCCTAATTTTCACTTATCTGGAGTCTCCTGGTTCCTTGAGTATTCACTGCAGATCCTGCCTCTCCCCTGCTCTTTGGCAAGTGGCAAGATACGGCAGACAGGACCTTCCCTTGCCCTCTCACTTACTCTTCTGATTTAACCTCTTCAAACTTCAGTTTCTCATCAAATAAACCAGCCAGGCAGCCAGATGGCAAACACATTATTCTCACATAAACAAAAAAAAGCCCAACCCATTGTCACCAACTCAGTCCTGACTCACAGTGTCCCTACTGGACAAAGAAGGTCTGCCACATTTTTCTCCTGCCTGGTGCCTGGTGGGTTTGAACTACCAAACTTTCAGTTGACAGGCAAGCACTATAACCTTAATTTTGTTGTTGCTGTTAAGTGCTGTCGAGTCAATTCGTATTCATAGCGACCCTGTATAGCATTTCTGAGGAACGGTTGCTGAGTTTGAACCGCTGTTCTTGCAGTTCAAATGAACCTTGTGGTCCAGTGATTATCCTACAGCATGACAGTTGTTGTTGTTGTTGCTAAGTGCCATTGAGTCTGTTCGGACCCATAGCGACCCAGTATAGAGTTTCCAAGGAGCAGCTGGTGAGCTTGAACCACCGACCTTATAGTTCACACGGTTTTGCAGTCTGGCGCATTAACCCACAGTGCCACACCAGGACTCCACAGCATAAGAGCAGGACTCCTTAGTCTTTAATGTTGTTATATGCCGTCAAGTTGATTCTGAGTCATAGCGACCTTGCATAGGGTTTCTGAGGAGCAGGTGGTGAGCTTGAACTGACAAACATGTGGTTCAAACTGACTTTGCAGTCTAAATGAAAAAAAAAATTTTTTTTTTTCCTGGTAACCTTTAATAGTA